ATCATGTCACTACAAAAGCAAATAAAATGCTCTGCTTCTAAAACCTAATCTCTACAGTTGTGACAGATCAACAAAGGAAATAGCCTACAAGGCTTTGGTGTGACCTCAGAATATTGTCAAGCCATATGGAGCCCACATCAGAATAGTAATATTCAAACTATTAACAGAGTTCTGAGATGAGCATCCCGGTACGTGCTTCATAACCATACAAGAACGTCTAGCATCACAGACATGCTGCAGCTCAACTGGGCATCACTTGAATCAAGAAAAACCAAAGCCTGACCATAATTACATCATCTACATATACAAGGAAACCCATAATCTCTTCCCAAGCAAGATAGCTCATCTTCTCCAAACATGAACAACTACCAAGCACACTAGATAATCTTCTGGTCTTTGTATGTATGATAAAATCTCATCAAACAAAACATGTCATACTTCTCATATCCATAGTTAAAACCTGAGTGGAGGTTTTGCCTAGGATGCCAGATGTTCTCCTTCAGTAGTATCATTAAAAACTGCTTCGGGGGGCTTGATTTGGACCCCCTTGCCAAGTTTATGCATCCACATATGTGTGTAACAGAGGCTTAGGGATTGCAGCTAACACTCATAAAAATTTATGGAAACTCAACCAGGAGTAGTTCCTGAATCAATTCGATTGGCTCCTTACCCATTTCCTGCTGGGTGCTACGCAGTGCCTACATACAGGCAATTTTCAAGATTTTTCAATTTTCAAAATTCTTTTAAAAATTCATAATTTCATTAAATGGACATTTGCACCCACACAAATTACTGTCTGGTAGCTACTCTAAGCTGACAGGCAACCTCCAGACGCCCGAGCATGTAAGCCAGGCCTGCCGCCCTGTAAAAAAAGCCTCAAATTGTGAGGTGTTACATAATTTCCTTTGTTCCCAGTGTATGCCAGTGGGGTCTTTTCAAATGCGGCTGAATTAGCATGCAGCAGTACTGTATCACTTTTCGATGGGGAGCTGCAGCACTTTTGCCCATGGTGCTAATCCACAGGTGCACTATGCCGAAAACTGTGGTACACTGTTTCAAAACCATGACAGATTACCTCTGATGGCAATTCCAAGCAACGGGGCTTTTGTTCCGAGTATGGTTTTTTGTTGCAAGGCCCAGCTCTTTTGTCAGATTTCGGGCACCCGGGCTATGCGAACAAACCCAAGGTACCCAAAACCAGGTTCCCCGGCAGCATATAGTTAACAATAGTATTTCAAACAATAACATTCACTGTCCACAGATTATCTGCCCCCTACAGTATTGACAGTATCTTCAACTTGATCATTGAAAAAGCTACTGTGTTTTCCTTGATGTTTTTCAAAAGCAGTCAATTCAAATATGAAATAAATCAGTGGAATGAAATCTGCAGTAAATAGTATACCCCTAAATTAGCCAAAATTGTAAAATTACTGCCAAAAATTGTGTAAACTCCCTCTAGAGATAAAAAGGATTGGGGAATGATTTTCAATATTTTCCCCAACCATTTCAAAGCAGGGTATTAAAAGTTCAAACCAAGAGTGCTAAAACAAATCAAAAGGCTATAGAAGATATTTGAGTTTTAAAACAGTTTTAAAAACTATTGGGAAATATGCATGTTGACTTTTAGAATACTGGTTTTGACTTAGGGAGCTTGTCCAAAAGGTTGAACCGCGGTTTGAACATGGACACCTTGGTTTTCACAGGTCCTTAGCAACCAGCCGACTTTCTACTGCCGGTGCCAACTTACCATATCAAAGGCACTGACTAACAAGGCTCCCTATTGTTATTTGAATTTTACACCGGGCGCAGCTAGCAGAATCCGACCGCGGCGGCTGTGGTCGGTTCCACGGATGCTTTGGAGCACTGGGGCCACTGCGTCTATTTTAATTTATTGGAATCCAGTCCCCTAGCCCTTAATTGTTGCACAAGAGTCATGTTCAGTTGACTTGCAGTCCTTGAGGCCCTTCTTTATAAGTTGCACTTTTGTGCCACAGAGTTTGTCAGTGTGTGATTGGTTAGCCCAAGTTCATGCACTTTGAAATAGTCGGCACTGGCCAAACCCTTTCGCTGCTGTAATTACAACATCAATTGTCTTCTTTCAGAGGCACACTTTAAATTCCCAACAACTGCTGGTATTCCGATTGGAGCTTGCTATTCAATACTTTGTATGAATGTTTGAGAACCACGTACCACCTATTCTTGGAAGCCATCGGAGAAGTACACACAGGAGCTGTCAATCACTGTTTAGAAAGGGTTTTTTTTTCTTTGCAGATTGGATAAAAGGGCCATTGGCCGTAAAAATCTAATGCCCAAATTTTTTCGCGACGTAAATAACGCAAATACACGAGAGGAAATTAGAATTCTTCTTTGTCTATGAAATTAATTATTGTTGGTCATTTTTTTGCGTAATTTTTCAGGGAGAAGGGGTGAAGGTTAATTTCAGATTAAGTCTATCAATCTGAAAACAAAGACTGAGCATGTATTTCAGAAATCTTGCACGTCTTAGCCTCTTAAATAAGCATTTTTTTTCCCAATGCTTAAAGATGGCAAACCTGTTTTCTGCTGTAGATCTTTGTGTCTCTTTTTACCTTGTTTCTGGGTAAAATTCAAATTATCCCAGAGTTTATAAACATATACAGAACACCCAGTACATCATTTTTTTCCGACCGTGCCAGCAACCTCCAGGTCATCACCCGGAGCTACTTGACCATTGCTTACGTTTTTGGTGAAAGGCATTTAATATACGCTGATAAAAGTGTAAAGGCTGGCCCATACTTCAGGCGAATGCGAAAATAATGCAAATAGGATGTCATGAAAAATTGGTAGCGATATTTCACCAGAGATGAAGTGAGTTTAACTTTTGCAAATTCTGACCTCGAAATTTTGCGTACGCATTTGCTTTCCCGCTGAATGTTGAACTGACCCATTAATGATGAGCGTTTGCGAATCGCGGTGGTGGAAACATGTGCACAGTGTAACACACTAGTTCGCGCCACGCCGAATCATTGGCAAAGAAGGCATGAGGGAAATGCGGCAACCAATCAATGTACAATTCCTGCCAAAAAGGGTCGCAAACGTTCTACTACATGTACATCGTATATGACTGCAGCTCTACAGTTGCAAGTCAGAAAAAAACGAGCGTTTCCACAAAATTTCCAGACACAGCAAGAGGCTAATCGCCCAACCCCCGATGCATCACGCACTCTTACAACACGATACAGACATCATTTGCCAGTTTCCTGAAGTCATGACAAACGTAAAGCACGATTCGAAAATCAATGATTTTTTTACATTAATTACAAAAACGTCAAAACAAAAATTCCCTTCCCAATTCTGATAAAATAGGGCAAAATGAGTTCATTTGACTACTCTCACATCTCAAGTGCACAAGTAATTGCCCAACACTGAATTATTCATATTGCTGCAAAAAGATCTAGCGTACCCATCAATGAGAATGTGCTTTTTCATGACGTACATTTTGCAAGACACAGCTATCCAATCGCAATACATGTATTCCTTCATGACATCATGCTTCTTCAGCGACCATCTCGCATGTGGGCAGCCGCGCCACGTGGTGGGTGAGTGAATCAATAAATCGTGTCATGCAGCTAGTGTAAAAAATCATTAGACAGACGGAAAATAAAATAAAAATGTCTCTCCATCATGACAAAATTTGTGTTGGGAAGACTACTTACGTGGATGGGGGCTTCAGTCAATGAGTCTTCACATTCTTGCAGGCACACACAGGCCTACATGTGGATGCCGTTTAGCTTTCGTCATCATCCATGGCGATCGAAAGCCTTTTAAAGATCCCTAGGTGGCTGCTTTCAAATGTATTTGCTGTGTTTAATCTCACATGCACATTAACATTTTTAATATGACAGTGAATTTTATTATTCTAAACACATCACAATGTATTTGATTAACTCATCAGCATTTTCACGAAGTGACAAAAACCCGCCGGCGGAGAATCAAAAAATTTTCAATCTGGAGTTTTTCCTACCATTTTACTTTCTTTGATCTTAAGAACAAATTAGCAAGTTTCAAAGCGAAATGTTGTTTAATTTCATGGTAACTGTAAACAAACAACTAACAAAAAGCTTAGCCTCTGTGTTTCTCTATTCCAACGAAGTGACAAAAAGTCACATTGTTATCCTTGCACAAGTCTGGGTGTAGACATGCATGTGAACGATGCTGTACATGTACATCTACATGAACACCTGTCCGCTTGTTGAAATACTGGGTAGCACTCTCCGTGTGTGATTTGATATTGCGCTGAGTAAAATATATTTTTCGGGCACTGCCTGAATCACCTTTGTAGCATATACAGAGTCTGCTTTTTTGTGACTTTCTGAGAAGAATTCACCACGTTTATGTCCCCGACGGAATTGCAAATGCGGCACCCACATTCCGAGGATAACCAGTAGATATACATTAACATGTGCATGTACATGGACACTGAGCATCTGTCTGTGCACCACGCATAGAATGTTCGGATTGACCCCGATCGCTGCGGCAGGCATGCATAATTCAAGACACGATCAGCAGTACAATTGCAGTAATCCTAGGGCTGCCTCATTAAATGTTCTTGGCATGAGTGAACTTCAACGCGGTCGCTGCAGTTCCTAGCAACAGGGCTTAACCGCGATGACCGTGTGCAATTAAACTGCAGCGACCTTTTGGACAAGCTCCCTTACCAGGGTTGGTGTGAGGTATGTCTCGTAATTTAGCTCTTATCTGCCAAAACCATGACAGGATATTTTCATGATCTTCCTTCAATAGTTTTGATTTGTTCATACATATAAACGAATCAATTTATATTAAAAATTGTGTTTTATGATTTATATGTACAGACTACCAGAGAATATGAATATTAGATGACCTATTATTAATTTTATTCCATAAAAAATATGGTAAAAATCCAAGTTGGTTCATGAACATCCAAGCATCAACTTAACCCCATGTACCAGTATGTCCATGTTTCAAAAGACGATACATACCCATAAGATGCAGAGCTGAGCACCTAGGCCAGTAAGGACATGACACAGTCGTTTCAAGAAGATATAATTCTCCTCATCCAATCCGGCTGCACAAGCATTTCTGCAATAGTAAAACCAAGGTCACCATAAGGCTACCTAAAATTGAGATCAATCTGATATGCACATTGCACTTGAAATTGTCCGCAGAAACAGCAGTTAAAGGCCAAACTTCAAAGAGACATAAAAAAATTCCTTTTACCATACAAAAGCAGAATGCATAGGCACCATGGAAAAAGTCGGAACGGGTCCGGACGCATTCCTTTGAGTCCGAACTCAAAGGAACGCAAGCGGACTCAGTCTCATGTGTCACTGCATTCCCTTTGAGTCCGATTGCATGCCGATGCGGTCTGGTGAGCACCGAGGAAGTGTTGACCTATTAAACGGGGGTTGACTTAAAGCAAAAGAAGCTACATGCCTTTGTGCAGGACAACTCCGGCTGACAAAAGAGTAAAGGGATGAGTGGTATCATTCTTGGCTTGGGGCTTTGCCTATTAAAAACTCCCATTAACTGGAAATAGATATTTGTTTATGTATAGCATGTCAGCATGTCATGATTTGCCATTTCTTCTTGGTGTTTGTAAAACTTGGTTGTTGTTTTTTTCAGATTATAAATATGGATAACCAGCAGCAGCGATTTGTCTTCAATGTTGGGGGACGGATTACCTTACCAATAAAGGAATACCAAAAGAAAAAAATGTTGGAGATTAGGTATACCCATCCCTGATCAGTATTCTCTTTCGGAAGAACGCAAAATCAGTTATTAGGGACAGTATTTAATCGAAAAATTGGCAATTTGGTGTCTTTTGTGTCTCTTGGCAAATATGTGTTATTATTATTTTGTGGGTTTGTTGCACATGGGTGCATTTAAATTAATCCAGTGGGAAATATCGAGGGACACTGCCATAGCCATTCCTCACTCATTCTCTTTTTTTAAAGGGGGTTAATGGCACCATGGATAAAATTGGTGATGCTTCGGGCTCTCCAGGTTATCTATTATGTTTTCTGCAGATACAGTGCAGTACGGAATATTTATATTGTTTGTATTTCTTACCAGCATTATTTACTTTAACAGGCCCTCATTATTGAGCTACATGTATGTTCAGAAAAGGTGGGCTATTAGACCGATGGTATTAGAAAATAATTGGACATACACAATTGCGCAAGTATCCATAATGCCTTGTGCTTATTTGTTTGATTGAGAATTGGTTGCCGTTGCTAGACATCGTGTAAAAAAAAATTAAAAATGCGTTTTGAGCTCAGACCAAGGAATGCATCAGATCAATGTCTGTGAAGACGCACACACATATATATGGACTGATGCATACATTATGAGTGTGTATCCCGATCTTCCTTTGCTGAAACACAGCACTGAAAATGGCACGTGGCCACAGCCCGTATGTAATACACTGCACGTATGGAGACGGGGGGGGGGAATTATTGTATTTCGACCTCACAGGTCCGTACACACTCACCGCCATGCCAAGGCTAAATTTCCCCAAAGAGGATAATCACAAAAGCATAATTTGTGCCAGGTCAAAACTAATTACATGTATTGAGGATTAATGTGGTCGTTCATCAAAAAATACAAAAATAAAACCTAGTTCGCGCATCCGGAAAAAAGTTATTGCTGGAAGGGAAAGCATGTACTATAAATAGATCAGTAGCCCTCGGGGAAGATGTTTCAACTTTTTTGTCATATTTGCCTTAAAATAAGTATGGAAGCATGAAATGTCACCAAACTTGACACAAAATGTCGCGACACCACACTCCACCATATATTGGAAGACGAGAGACCCTTTACGTAGATTTCCAAGTTTTGTAGGCCAAAATCACTTTTGGGGTTATTCAGACTACCTCACAGAGCATAATGATGAATTTTACCTTTTTGGACCTAAAATAAGTACGGAAGCCTGAAATGTCACCAAAATTGACGCAAGATGTCATGACACCACCCCTCACCATATACTGGAGATGAAACACCTTTCATGAAGATTTCCAAATTTTATTGGCCAAAGTCACTTTTGGGGGTTGTTCAGGCTACGGCGCAGAGCATAATGGTGAATTGTACCTTTTTGGTCCTAAAATCAGTACGGAAGGATGAAATGTCACCAAACTTGACGCAAGATGTCACGACACCACCCTCCGCGATATACTGGAAGATGAAAGACCTTTCATGTAGATTTCCAAATTTTACGGGCCAAAATCACTTTTTGGGGTTGTACGGCCTATTTACAGTACGTTACTCACGTTTTAATACCCTTTGACTTTAAACAAGAACAGAACATATATGTGCCATATGTTTTTTTTCTCCTGCGTGGGCCATTAAAACGGTCCAACCCATCACCGGCATCACCACCCCAAACTGAAGGCTTACTGATGGAAAAACGATTGCAGAAATTCCCTAGTAAGAAAAAGGACCTCAGATAAATCCGGCAGTAATTAGCCAGTACCCAGAGCGTCATGTGTAGGGGCATGCACAACCACAAGGTTGCGCGAGTGCATAGCGATGTTCCCCAACACCAATGTTCCCCCCATACCCATGCCCCCATACTATCATACAAAGAAAAATATAAATTAGAACAGAATCATAATCATGCTTGGAGAACATCAGCATGGGAGAACATCGGTACGGGAGAACATCGGAATGGGCATGGTACAGGGGAACATCGGGCAGACCCCGGTTACGCTCACCGTCACACAGACTGGGTAGACAGATCAATTAACTCCAACATTTTCGTCCGCTATTAGGCGTACCCAGTGTTCCGTCTGTACATGATTCACAGAGATACAGGTACTTTTTACTGTGTGTGAAGGTTCCATTATTGTGTTTCAATTGGATTAAATATATACTTCAGGAGATAGAGGGCTGAATTTCTAAGGTCACAGGACTTGTCACCTGGTGACGTCAACATCAAATGAGATCGATAATTGTCTAAATCACTTCCTTTCCAAGATATCAGCAAGGTTTTAACCAAATTGGATATATGCTTCAGGAGATATACATGTAAGAGTTTTAAAGAGTGCACCTTTAATGTCACGTGACTCGTCTCCTGATGACATCATCATCACACGAGGTCAATATTTGCCTGAAATACTTCCTTTCGAAGATATTTGCAAAGTTTGAAACCAATTGGACATGTACTTCAGGAGATATAGTACTTTAAAGGACTCATTTGCTGACGATATTGTCATCACCTGAGGTCAATCTCCATTTATAAGCCTTCCCTTCCTAACTATCTGCAAGGTTTCAACCCAATAAAATATGTACAATACATAATACAATACACAACATTATTGTTATTGTGGAAAGAGCACAGATTAGAGATTATAAACATTAGTCCCTTTTGGCGTTCCATACAATGCGATCTGTTCTCGGCTCCACATGCTCAGCATTTTGCCAGGTCCTGATTACATGCCCTACGCACTGTGTGCTGCTGGCCACACATTACAGGCAGATATTGAAGATTCCTGCAAACAGCAGGCAATCCACAGTACACGAAAGGGATTTTCGGGTTTTTGTCGTCGGGGCTTCATCTGTGTGGAGGAGTACACCACTTAAACACTTCATGCAGTTGACTTCAATGTTTTAACTATCATCTAATGAACAATATATGCTTAAATCTTTTACAGTTGATTTTTAACCGAATTTTGAAGAATAAAAGAACTTTTTATCATAACTTCCGATCTGATGAAGTCATCAGCCCCAAATTTCACACATATGTTAACTGGGTTAAGATTGTCATCTACATTAATTTTCAGGCGATTCGGAAATTTGCCACAGACATCCATTCAAAATTTATTTTTCAGAATTTTTAACCTGTTGCTACAGGGCGCTTGACAATTACGTGACGTCATCAGTAGATGATTTGAAGACTGCTATACCCAAACAGACTAACACTCTTGAAAACAACTTGATACCTATTACCAATTTGTAATTAATTGAACAATACCCCGATAAGCCCACTTCCAGTTTCGATCGGAAAGAGGGGTCACGTGATTTGACCCACACAAGATGAATTGAAGACCCAATTTTACTCTGGCACTTAATTGCTGCAAACAGAATGCTGCGGGAGGCCACGGTTGATTTTATATGGATTTTTACATTAACATAATTTTTAAATATTCAAAATTTAATAAAAAATCACTTGGTGACGTCATCATGACGTAATTAATTTAGTATTATCTTTGCTTCCAGGTCTTTCCTTTGTGTAAATGAAGATCGCTAAGTTACCAAAATTAAGTCTTGAAAATGAAATAAACATTTAAAAATCAATAAAAAATCACTTGATGACATCATCACGACATCTTTGAACTAAGGTCCTTCATTGATGTAAGTTTGATGAAGATCTGAAGTCGCAAGAGGACCAAAGTCAAGTTCTTTCCATGGTGTAATTTTGATGATATTTGAATATTGCTAAACAACCAAAATGTTGCCTTGAAAACGTGTAGAAAGTCAATGGGCTGAAATAAATATAAATAAAACAATATACTGAAATAAAATCATAAATAAGATCTGTATATATATGTGGTGGTCGGACTTGGTCAAGTCTATGATTCTGTCAGGGTTCCACACCACGCACCTTCTCACAAACTCCGAGTGTTCTTACTCATCCAACATAATCCCTACATTGTATTTAAATTGTACTTTCTTTCTACAGTCGCCCAATTGGTTTTTCATGGTCATAATCGTAAATTAATTGTGTCCTTATCAATGTTACTCTGCAACAACAGCTTTTAGTCCATGAGTTCTTCCACTGGCGCCAGCAAACATTCCACAAAACAATGTTGCGCCACGGGTACCAGTCACATGTACTGCGTGTGTACACGCTCGCGCAACGCAATGTACATGTACATGTGCAAAACATACGCGATGGTTTTTCGGGACACAAGGTTGACTATGCATAACGGTAGGCAGCCAATGGTCACCATTGTCAGTACATTATAAACACAGTCGGTAAACTCAAACACGATCCACAAACTGCGGTAAACCTCTTTTTTATTAAAATCTTGAAGAAGTAGACATTCGGGGAAAAAAACACTACTCAAAAAAATAGCAGGGCG